CAGCTGACTCTTGAAGAAGCATATCTTGTTCCAAAATATCCAGATTACGAAACGCTTCAAAATCTTTAACAATCATAGTCTTAAACTTATTGAACTCAGCTGTCAACAATCTTGCCATGTATTTCGTCCTTAACTTAATTATAGCACTCACATCACCAGGCATTTTACCTGTAAGACCACACTCCCAACGCCCTTCATTTCCCCCCATGTAACTTTCCATATGCCTCATGAGGTATACTCCACATTATGTTCCAGCTTTTTCTACTTGCCAAGATATGTTCATCACCCGTCCCGCCTTAAAAGTTAAAGATTTTGCCATTGGATGATGTTGTGATGTCAAGTAGTTGCAAAACAGTTTTTTCTGTCATTAAATACAACATATACATCAAACATAGTCTTATATCATTCTTTAGAATGAAAACCTAGTGATCAGAATTTTATTGATTATCTTACCACCAGGTTTGGTATTATGCCATACTTTCTTTCCAAAGTTCATGTTCTCTTCACATGATCTACTATGTAGTATAAACTTGATCTCAGATCAAAGATGAGTAAGTAATACTTCCCATCATCAACTATTGGGAAGAAAACCTTGTACACATTAAAAAAAGAAGTTAAGTTAATATTAAACGATGCAACAAATATTACATTTACTAAATAAACTTACAAGCGCAACATCTCTAAAACTTGGATTGACATCAAATTTCTTAATGTAGATTCGCAATAGAGTAACAAAAAGCCTACATTTCAGATCTTCCGACTTTAATTCATTCAATATCTCTTCTGTCTGTAAAAACCCACATCAACAACAATATTAATTCTACAAAAATAAATTCGAATTTAAAATTAATTTACAAAATAAATTCATACCACAATAGTTGTATCGAAGAAAAAAATCTTGAAAGCGATGATTCATCCTTGTAGTTCTCAATTTTATTTAAAAACGCAGCTCAACAATCAATTACCTTAGAATACAAAACCATCCCTTGATTGAATTGATATGCAAAACCCTGGTGCAGCAAATGACCTGTTCCAATGTCCCAAATCTCATCCATGTGACAAAAATTATATATAAAATCAATCTAAATACATTCAAATTTATATTCTAAAAATATAATAAATGAGTCATATATATATATATACGAACCCATCATCTCTATTAGATGCAAAAACTGAATTGCATATCCCTGTTTCATCCTTAGTCAGTTTATCCCCAACCTTAACAATTCTTTCAATATAGGGCGAATGAAATATTTTTGTCTTTTTAGGGATACGTTTCTCCCTTTTGTCATTATCATCATCTTCTGCAGCATTATCAACAACTTCTCCTATATTTCTTCCAACCACATTATCCCCACTGATTCCTGACATTAGCTTTTTCCTTCTATACACCTATAACTCAGTTTCATCCAACAACTTAATCATTTCCTCATTCACCCCTGGAAGTCGATAAAACTGAGTCATTGTTAAAGAATTGGTATTAACAGGTGTACTATAATTGACTTCTTTTTCTACATTTACTTCAGTAAGTATCAATCCTCTAACATGTGAACTATTTCCTTCACCGCCATCACCTACATCATTCATATTTAACTCATTACAACACTCAGGCTCATGCACTTTTTTGTTACTTGCCCCTTCTTGCACTTCCTTGAAAAGCTCATTCATCTTTTCCATCCACTCATTCAGCACCACACTATCAGGGAATTTTTCCAAACCATCCTTTAACGCAACCTCCATAGTAATTTTCTCTGTTAGAATTACCCCATAACTATGCTCTATAACAGCAGCGTATGCATGCAATACATATAAATAATTATTAATTACATTACAAGAATATTTCACCATCTTTAATATGATAAATGTATAAACAAATTAGTAGTATTCCACAATATGTAATTTATATTCTACCAGAATATACATTCAAATATTAATTACAGTAATTACAAATTAAATAATTATCCATAAAGAAACATAATATTACCTCCTCATCTCCAAAATCCCTCTTAAAGCTGAGCAGTTGTTGTTCTTCACCTCCTGTTTCATCCCTCATATCGACATCATCATGCTCATCCCGAAATTGCCTCCCGGACCCTCCCAAACTGATTTCCAATCGTTGAATCTCTAATAAATTAGCACCATTAATATGCCCAATAAAAGGAAGCCTTTTATCTAACTTGATAGAATACTTCATCTTATACATGTACACCAACTAAAAAAAACATTAACTTAATCAATACATCAATAATAAATCAATACCAAATATATATTTTCATATAACACTATTTGAAACTTACAATCAGGAGTGTAATAGGACCACTATAGTAGCTTGATTTGTCATCCCTTTTCCATAGTTTTTTCCTTGATCCCAAACAATATAGCATATTACACCAATTTAACTTTGAAAAGTCTTCTACCAACACCAACTTCCTTACCACTTTTATTTGATTTTTTCCCATCAACATTGACTCTATGAAGTTGTTAACAAAAAGGGTCAAAAAATTAAGCCTAAACATCAAACTATCATTTGTTGTAGCCTGAATACTTCTTAAATACTCCTCACCATTGAACTTATCACAACTATATTGTCCCCTCCATTCTTCCAGAATTTGATTTCCCTTATCACACAATGGCAACTCATTGATGTCTTCTCCACCAATTGGCAACCCCATCATATCATGCACTGTCTGTTCTGTTATCTCAATAACAGAGTTTTGTAGGACAAGTCTTTTACTATCGGTATCATACACCAAATGGCAACCCCATCATATCATGCACTTGCAAAATTGATCCAAAACCCATTCTCAAGATTGCTTTTATGTTCCGGTGACATCCCCATAACAGCTGCAGTGATGTTATCACATTTCATTCTGGTTGGAAGGTATCTTAAACCAGGTGGATATTCCTTATTTGTTTTTCTAACATTATCTTCTTGTTCCTCTTTGACAGATTTATCAATTCCCTTATTCTTTAATTTTTTTAGAATTGGACCTCTATCATATTTCCTCTTTGACCTTATCTCTCTTTCCAAAAGTAGTACATTTAAAGGTTTAGGACTTTTCTTTTGTTCAACTGATTTATCAAGCTTTTTCTTTGACCTTCTTTCTCGTTTGACATGTTGTTCTTCTTCCTGTACTGGTTCTCCTATAACACACAATAGATATTATAATGTTTAGTATAAGATATTAGATATTAATGTTTTAAAATATAAGATATTCCTCATATTCTAACAGAATAACAATTTATTTCAATAACTTATATTCATACATATATTCGTATTCTACTAGAATAGTCTACAAAAAACTACAACAACATCATAAATTTCATTTTGAAACATAACCCACTGCATATTCTACTAGAATAATCTACAATAAACTACAAAAACATGATAAATTTCATTTTGAAACACATTAGAATTCTACCAGAATCATATAAATTTAAATTAGAATTCTACCAGAATCATATACATCCTCTTTAAACTCTATCAGATTATATTACATACAAATTAGAATTCTACCAGAATCATATACATTTTAATTCAAGCCATATAATCCACTATCTATGTGCATAGTCACACTCATATTAAACATTCCATTCTTCTAGAATTTTACACATGTAAACTTAATCCATATCTAAGAATTCTGAATGTTTTAGTTTAAGTCATTAATCATCTACAAACTTTGATTCCATTAGAATATAAAATATTTATACCCTGTTAATTACCTACTTATTTATAGAAATTTTCATTACAATTTTAAATAATACAAAAACAAGATTAATTGTAGGAGAATAACAAACATCTTCAGGTTCATATGAATAGAACATTCGGGCAGAATAACATAGACAATAATTTCATTGTATCATATTATTATAATTTCAACGCATACTGTAATGAACAGTAATTATTCTTAAGAAATTACAAAAAAATGACACCTTCTTCTTCCAAACCACAAATCATACATGCATAAATGATTTTAAATACACTTCCTACACTATAATACATTTTCGAACTCACTAAACATCAACTAACACAAAAAAATTGTTACCTTCAGGTTCATCAACGAAATCATCATCGTCATCTTCAAGATTCAAGGCCGTTACTGCTGTGTTCTTGAACTTTGACTTGAATGAAGTGGACCGTGTACTCCTCATTCTTATAGAATACCGTTCACAGAAGCCCCCAAATGTCGATTCCGTCTTCTAGGGTTAAGTGTCGATATTTATATGAAAAACCTTCAAAGGATCTTCCGATTTTGAAGATTAATTACAAGAAATCAGAATGTTTTTCAACCTCCAAAGGAATTGGGTTTTTGATTTTGTGAGTATGCAAGATATTTGGGATTATCGGTTGATCACTTCCATACTTATCCACCGTTTCCTAATTAAATGACGATGCAATGTACCATTCTACCATTCCTTGACCGGTTAGTTAATGAAAGCCTATTAATTTGATTATTTTTCTATTTAATTTAAAAAGAAAGTCACTTTCTTAATTTACCACAAATGATTGGCCTAGAATCCTTTACACAAGCACACAATACTTAGCAAAAACAAAATAACCTAACCATATATATATATATATATATATATATATATATATAATACACACACACACACATACACACAGAGAAAGAGAGATAAGCAATCTCAGCTACATATTTATTTGGGTTTTTGTCATAGAGACCCATCTAACTTTTACATTTGGTTTTAAAAGACCAATATTGTTTTTTTGGTCTTTATGGACCCCCAAACTCGAAAATTACCTGTCTTTTATACCTTTTACCGTAAAGTTTACACACAATTGCCGGTTATCTATTAATTTACTGCATAGGTGGACAATGTTGTCCACGTAGATACACAGTTGGCAGGTGACGCATCAGCTTCATTAATAAGCCGTTTAGAGTGCCCTTAATGAAGACAAGATATTCAAGATCATTTCCACTTTATAACATTTAGTTTTTAGGTCACGAACCCTTAAGTATCAATTAGCTTCTCCTTCGATGGCATACTCATCTGGATCATCATCTGGCAACCACACTGTTCTCGCTACTAGGAATCGTGACAACGACCTGTGTGCTTGGCGTCATCCAAAGTTAAGCGTAGAAAGGATGTCGATGTCAGATAAGAATCTAGGTCGCAGATTTCGCAACTGCGTTGACTCTTTGGTAAGCATCATCTTCTTTAAATCTGTTGTCGAGATTGTGGAATTAGGGTTTATCAAACAATGGAGATAATGTTGATTTTAGGGTTTACTGTTCTTGATTAAGTCGACTGTGGAACGAGGTTGTGGTGTGTGTGACTAAATATTTCATTGGTATGTTTGTTTGTAGGTGGAGATGGCAGCTGAGAAGTGTAAATACTTCAAGTGGATCGATGATGAGCTGAAACCACACTAAAAGAATGCCTTTAACAATCTCAAGTATGAGTTGAAACTAATGAAAGACACTAGTTACGCTACAAGACTAGAGAGAAGGGTAGCTTTGCTGGAGAACCTGAATGCTGAAGCCACTGCTGCTAAAGAAATTGTTGATGGTGAGTTAGCCATGGTTGTTGAAGAAAACAAAGAATTGAGGGGTAAGTTGAAGTTCGTGAGGATTAAGTTCAGGATTGTTTTGATGTTTCTTGTGCTTCTTGTGCTTCTTGTTTAGAGTTGCAGTTTCTAGCACAATTATGCTCAATCTTCAATGATTTGATTTGAAATGACACCTCCTGCCTCATCCATGTAGCCCATAACCTGAATGGGAAAGCTCCTTTGCAACACACAACCAACAACCTTTTACTGTCATTCTTCTTGAAGCATAGTCGGTATCCATTTGCCACATCATAGTTACATAACATATTTTTCAGCTGCTTTGGACTTTCAAATTTCATCCCAAGAACAGGTACTTGCCTCTTCCATTGCATATCAGGGTTGAAAATGGAATGGATCTCAACATCTTCTTGTTCAACTTCATTGTCACCAATTTCACATTCTGGAGGACATAACTTACTAAGAAACTCATCCCCAGCCGTCTTGTTCAAAGGTATTTTGTCAATGTCAATTACTTCATCTTCAAGACCTACATTGGGATGGGTTTCATCAGGGGCAGTGTTTTCTTCATTTCTAGGTACACCATCATCTTCAAGGCCACTTTCATTATTTTTCACTAACAACCAAATTCATGTCATCATCCCACCATTCCTCCAACCCATTCCCATTATGATCAACATAAACTGAAATTTCCCCGTTTTCATACCCACCATCTATAAACTGGGCAAAATCGAAATCATCTACAATGGGAAGAATCCCTCTAGATAAAGGAATGTTAGGTAAGCAGTACTACACGTTTTGAAACTCTTCCCCAATAGCTCTATTAAGAAAATCAAAAAAATCCCTTGCATCCATACCTGCCCAATCAACATCAGTGAAGAGGAATTGATTCCCACCAACATACCCAGAAGGATGTCGAACAAATACACCATTGTAGTGTAGATGAACTCTCAGATATACAACTTCGTTATCGTTCTCAGCCATGCAACAGTGAAACAATCTTCAAAGAGTAGAATACCTTCGACAACAGCAGTGTAATCTCAACAGTGGCTTAGATGGTTAAAAACCCTAGCTCAAATCTCCACCCGTCTTCTTATAAGACGTACAACTAAGGAAAATGAATTAAAATTATTTACCAATTTTTACACTCTGGAATAACACACTTGGCACAATTAATAATTGACCACCAAAGTCAACGACCACGTCACCTATTTTACCGGCAAAATAAATTAGGAAATGAACAAGGGTATAAGAGATAGGTAATTTTCGAGTTTGGGGGTCCATAAAGACCAAAAAAATCAATATTGGTCTTTTAAAATCAAATGTAAAAGTTAGATGAGTCTTTATGACAAAAACCCTATTTATTTTATTGCAATAACACTTGGTCGTACCGGTGGAAAGAGACAAAGATCTACGCATGTTTTTCAAACAAAACATGTTTCCTTAAACAATATGAATCATCCCTTCTAATAAATTAAAGATTTTTTTTGCCACTTGTCACACTCTCATTCAATTTGCCAAATGTCATTTTGTGGTTATTTTGAATTAATTTTTTTTCCACATGTCACTGTATGAGTTTTCAATTTTATTAAATTCCACATAATATTTTAATGTAACAATTGCAATAAATGTAGTAATAAATTAATATCAATTTCATTAATAAACTTAACTTTTAATTTCAAAAGTTCTAAAATTAAAGTTCATTAGTTTTCTTTTCTTTATTTAAATTTAAAAGATAAAAAAACATTTCCATTATAATAATTCATTATTTTTCTTATTTTCTTATAAATTCAAAGTTCTCAAATATTTTATGCTTTATATTTAATTTTTTATTTTAAATTAATGCATGTAATATATGTGTCTCACAACTAGTTACCTTAATATATATAAAAACATATATATATATATATAATATAGAGATAGATATATATATATATATATATATATATATAGATATATATATATATATTCTTTTTTAAAATTTTGAAGGTGCAATTTTTATCGAAAAACGATTTTAAATATATCAAAATTAATAATTTTTTATTCTCTATAAATAAACATCCTTATTGATATACTTTTAACATAAAATAATTTTTTTTATAGTGTCAACATGATTCAAAAGTGAATAATAATGCATTAAAATTTTATATTACAATATATTCGTTATTCAGTTATCAATAAAACACATACTTAATGTTTTTTTTTACAATTTAATTATCATTCATATATGAATATAACATGTAATAAAGTTTTTGTTACCTAAAATATATATTTTTACACCAACTTTCGTAACATGTATATTCATATATGAATAAAACAAGTATTATATCGTCATATGTGAATAAAACTTTGATCATATTTTTGTTATAGTTTATTTGTTATTCATATATGAATAAGTAGTAAGTTAAAAAAAGACAAAGTGTTTTGAAAATTCAAACTACTTATTCATATGTGAATGACAAATGAACTGTAACCAAATTCTGATATAAATTTTATTCACATATGAATATAACATATTAGGAGGGCTAATACAAGTTTTATTCATATATGAATATAACATGTGATTGTTTATATATGAATGGACTTAAACGGTTAATTAATAAATGAATAACGAATATATTTTAGGTAATATTTCGATACACTTTTTATTCACATATGAATAAAAATATATTTTAGGTAAGAAAAAGCTTTATTACATATTATATTCATATATGAATGATATTTAAACGTTAAAAAATATACGTTTTTTTTTTCATAAGTGAATAACGAATGTACTATAATAAAAATCCGATGCACTGTTATTCACTTATGAATTACGAGAGCTGAAATTAAAAATAAAAATTATTTTATGTTAAAAGTATATCAATATGGATGTCTATTTATAGGAAATAAAAAATTATGAATTTTGATATATTTAAAATCGAATTTTGATAAAAAGAGTTTATTTAAAGTTAAAAAAAAAACAAGAAAATAAGTTGTTTGCATATATTAAGATAATGATTAACACAATTTAAGAAAACATATTACAACTTTGAAAAACACACGTGTATTGCTTTCATTTTTTGGCCGATACGATGAGAGATTTTGCGGCAAAAATAAATGATTGATTGAAAATGATTCCCCCATTCTTAATCTTTTTATTTTTCTCACTTGAACTTTCCTCTTTTTTTTCTCCCTCTCTCTCTCTTTATATATATATATATATATATATATATATATATATATATATATATATATATATATATATATATGAGACGGTTCAGTTGAAATTAAAAAAAGTAGAGATCTTGAGATTCAACCTGAGCTATATATTTCTTATTTGCTGCTCTAACGCTCCAGCGTATCGGCAACAACAGTGCATGCCTAATCATAAATGATTATAAATATATGGCTGTTCACAAATTTGGTAATCATATATGATTATGATAGTTAGTGGCAGAAGAGGTGGTTGTCACAGGGGTGACAGTGGTATAAGTGACGGAGGTGACACTGGTGGGGTCGACTGGTGTCAGATGTGGTAATAGTGGTGGTGGTCGTAGTTGTGGTGGCGGAGGAGAAAGGAGCGGGTGGCGCTATATAATCATTTATGATTATAACAGGCCTGCCGTGCCGGTACGTCGGAGGGTTGGAGCGGTAGATTTGAAATATGTAGCTGATGTTGAATCTCAAGATCTATATTTTATTTTTAATCTCAACGGAACCTACTTCTCTCTATATATAACCACACAAACACTAAATTTTCTACCCTAAGATAAGGGTGAGCGTTTGACCCGGTTGGACCGGACCAAACCGAGACTAGTATTTGATAATACGGGTTGATATGTGGCTATATCAATTTTGGATATATATATATATATATCTATATATATATTATATATATATATATATATTATATATATTTTATATCTATAATATATATATAATATATATATATATAACCGACATTGATTTGGAATTTGAAGAGCCAAAATTACTTCCTAATCCTAATGATATATAATTTCACCCACACCCGATCCTTCCTAATCTTAATCCTATATAATTTCACCCACACCCGATCCTTTAGATGACATTGTGAACACCAAAACTAACCCCCACCCCCCAAAAAAAAATAAAAATAAAAGGGATCAACTCCAAAATTGATCATCTTTACATCAGATTCAAGCTTTGTTGATCAAGACCTTAAAGAATAAAAAACAATATTTGATGATTCGAGACACGATTTTAACAAAACTCAAGTAAGTTCTTATATTGTAGATATTCTTTATTTATACTTGTAAAGTAGATTATTATTGTTATTTGAATTTTTTTTATTATTATAAAGTCTGATTCAGTAGTATCTAGTAAACCAAAGATTCAATTTTTAACCGTATCGGTTTATCTAATACCAGCTTTTTAAAACTCGGTTTAGTTTCCGTTTTATTGTTCAAACTGTTTTTTTGTGACATCTACATATATTTATGCATGTGTGTATGAACTATAAGAAAACAACACTTACATAGAAGAAATTTAATTGATATTTGAAGTCGAATACTTTCTTCCAATAAATAGTTAAAAATGATTTTAACATACCATATATAGAACTCAAACTTATCTTATTTTTTAAAACCAAATACGAAAAAACATTATCTATGTTCTTTCATCCATTTATCTTTCAAGTCATTTGAACTTCGTTTTAGTAATCAAATATTAATATTGTATCATCTACAAGTCTACAACCATCAGCGACCATTTTTTTTTTACTTATTTTTGAATAAAATAAATATAATATAAAAGTTCAATCACTAAAACACAACCCTACCGATCGTTATTGCGGGTATACCAACTATATCATGGTCGGTCCCGTGTTTAGATTGGCCTTTACCAATTACATGTTCTTGATAAGGCTTTCACCTGCAATGTATTATGAACTTGAAGGCTAATTATTCCCTGTTTTCTTTTTCTTTTAATTGATCAAAAGTTGTATCATAGTTGACAGAATCCAAAGTCACAACAACAATTTGAGATGAACAACAAAAATGAACCATTAACCACAAGAATCAGAGAAGAAGATGTCCTAAGTCCTAACCATATGATGACCAACCTCAAAGAAAAATATGCATTAAAAGAATATGACGAATCAACCTCACTTATTGCCATGAAACAGAAGGAACTCTTACAATTATATAAGGGAACCTAAGAATACAAAAACACCAAGCGTTTGGAGCAAAGGGTGCATATGTATCTTCTTTTAACGATGTTGCAGACTGGAACGAAGCAAAACCTCCATTTGTGAGCGCAGTCGACGGCTTCCACTTTACCACCACATTTTGGGCACGCACCAGGCGCTTCCTGTCGGCTTAACTCCTTCTCTTCTTCCTCACACACGTACTGTAGTCTCATTTACCCCGCTTCTAACTTTCTTGCGTTTCTTTTTATGCTCCTTCGTGTATATATATATATATATATATATATATATATATATATATATATATATATATATATATATATATATATATAGAGAGAGAGAGAGAGAGAGAGAGAGAGAGAGAGAGAGAATTGAATGCAGTAGTTGGAACCAAGTACTGGTTTGTTTTTGTCCGCTTGTATTATTCATCCAACTGATTTTATTCGAGAGAGAGTTTGCAGGGAAAGGATGTTTAAAGACAACATTGGACAAAAGTTGGATTGAATAAAGAAAAAAAAAATCA